AGATACTTCATAGGTTTCAACAGCCTTAAATTTACTTACATTATGCCTATTTAGATTTGCCTGTCCTCCTAATAATACTCCAGGTAGCAGTGACTGCTCACCAAATTTGTGAGAAAGAAATGACTTTCACACAAAACAAACCATTCATAAACGTCATTCGATACGAGGGAGTAAAAATAATGATTACCTTGAAACTAGTTCGCTTATGACGGCTCTTGCCAATCGCGTCATCCCTATCATACTCACGAACACTGTAAGATTCTTCAGTTTGAGTGTTTTCCCGGGTAGCACTACCATCAAAAAATTCGAATGATCGAGGCTAAATAGTACATGATTTTAGCAAATAGTTGCTCAGATAAAATAAGAATTAACCATCTGAGAGGACTGTACAATTCGGTCGTCCTCACGTCGTGCCGCATTAATCGGATTGGTCTCGCGCACAGCGCCTGAAAGATTTTTGGGAGGTGATGCAAGGATAACTGACTATTATCCATTTAAGGGAAGCGAAGAAATGTATAAGCGGAAGCAAAAGCTTGATGTAATGTTATAAAAATAAGCGACAACAATAATAACCTCTGAATGGCTTTCAAAAAAGTGGAACTTCAATTTTGTTAGAACTTCGGATTGTGCGTTTTTTGGTGCATAAAGATAAACAACAAAAATAACATTGAACAGTTTTACTCACTAAGTTCGCTCTTATTGAGTTCCGTGAGCTTTTGGCTACTTCTCGACGGAGTGGGACAAGAGTAGTTTGGTGCTGATACCCTAGCATCGGAACTTCCTTCTAAACAGGATCATTAGAGTGCTGAAAAAGAGGCAAAAATTTTGGGGGAAAACTTTATGACGTACGAAATCGTGGCCTGTCAGAAGACGAGTGGAAACGGGTGGATCCACTCAACGAATCCGGTGCATTATGGTTGTAGCGCGAAGGGAACTTTAAAATCCAACAATCATATGTTCAAATACGACTGAAAAAGCCATAAAAAAGCAGTACCAGATGCATTTCATCGGAGGATGGGAAGTCTGCTGAAGTTTTCGATTCATTAGCATGTGAGTTGCCTTCAATTACCCACTTGTCTGAAAGCACGAAGGTTAAAATACCCAACAGCATGATTTAACTAAATCGCTGCTCTGTTATCTAGATAAAAAGGTTTTGCCACTAATGCAAAAATAGATATTTAACTTCACAGCCGATTTCCGCGAATCCCCCAAACGTGCAACCTTTAGAACGCAGAACAATCCTATACTACCTCAATACAGGAGCTCTTTCAAGTTATGTAACTTCAGAGAATTCTAACATTTGACATTCAATAATCACAGTTTCCATGCAGAATTGTGAATGCATTATACACACGGAGCAAAAGTATTGCAAGGCTCCATTTTCTTAGATTGGACGTTGG